TTCGAGATAAATTTGAAATAACTCGACAATATTGCAATAAACACAAGATATCAACACCAAGGCACCAGTGAATTACGTTTGTAACGAATTTTAAAAGCAGAAATAAACAGAACGATCAGCTGCGATAAAAAAACACGTCTACTGAGACATAGGGTTCTACTCAGACATAGGGTTAAAATGATAATTTATTTTATACTTTTTGAATATGTTAAGTATGTTTATAAATATTTAAAAATTTAATACATTTTCATTACAGATTTTACTTTTATTTGTCCTCTTCTCTTCGTATATGAACAATCGACGCACTAAATAAGAAACTATCTAGGTATATATATGATGCAAGAAATTTATAGCATTACAACAAAATATATCATATACCGGTATTTGTTGTCCACAATGTCATATAACAAAAGAACGAAATACATTTTCAGAGATAACCCATAATGCCAAATCACTTTACAAATATATACATTTTACCGATATCCTTCCCTTGTTTTTATTTTTTTAATGTAAACAGATTGGTTTTGAGTCGGAAAATCATAAATATATATCTGTTCCCGTATCCAAGAATCTACTACTATTTACTACGATAACGAATTTTCCTATATGTTTTTAAAAAGGTTTATGTAACAATTCTTAAAAAAGTTAAAAAACGACAAAACTGGGATTCAGCTTCACTGTTTCGAAAAAAATGTCACTTCATTCAAATTCAAGCCATCACTCAACAATATCAATAATGTATTCCTATAACGTTTCAAAATGCAATTGTATATATTTTGTTGACCAGGATTCATTATTGTTTTATATTCTATATTAATAATATTAATATTTTAAAAATGCCAATTCATTCAAATTCAATCCATCATTAAAGAAATTCAATAATGTATTCTTATAACGTTTCATAATGCAATTGTATTTAATTTTTTGACCACCATCCAAGGTTGGTTTTGTATTCTATATTTATAATATCAATATTATCCGGTAAGGATATTCCAAAATATGTTTTTTCTTCGAGTGTACGCGTGTGTAAATTTTCCACTCAGCTTGTAAACATTTGTTTTTTTTATTTCTCCTATTTTTTGTTTCTGTTTGTCCAAAAACAATATTAAAAGTGTTTTATTAGCCGATGCTAACCCAAAACAAAAGGTGGCAGATAACGTGTTGATCGTTTTTTGTTTTAAATCAATAAAAATGGTGTTTCTGATGATATGGAGAGGTCCACATTTGAACCTCTGACGTATCTATCTACCATTTAAAACCGGTGTCCTCTGTTTTTTGTTTATCAACATTGCTAGTGCACTTGCGGTCAAATCGTATATATTTATTTATTCAATTCGATCTTTCTTTCGTTTACTCTCCCGCTCACTCGGTTTTTTTATTATTTTCTTGCTGTTGTACAAGTGCTTGTTGTTGAGCTCTTATCTGTTCTCTTTGGTTGTTGATACTACAAAGCAGTAATGGATCTGGACTAAAAGAAGATAATACAACATTGAATACGAATTGGTTTTGTTGGTTGGCAAATTTTTTGAAATCAGTTGTATTTTGTTCGGTGAAGAAGTCGTTTCGTGTTATTCAAAAGAGGCCGGTGCACAATTGTGTTGAAGAAGAGCAACAAAAATGACTGAACAAAGTATGATCAGAAGAATTACATTATATTTGTATTTTGAACACGTCCACGTCTCGGAGAATTCGTTATTTGCGCAGTGACAATTTCAAGTGTTTTGTTTATATTCTAGAATGCTGTCATGGACCTGGCTATCCCACACCCATTGATGCCATGAAAAATGGTCCCCGAGAGAAATTGTTGTACACTGTAACAATTCAACCTAACTTGGATGAACCCCATGGTGATTATCTTTCAACGGTTGATGTTGATCCCGAGAGTCCCACATACTGTCAGGTTAGCGTTAATTGCCTATTACATTGTCTTTGGCTCTTTTATTTAATTGTGCTTTACTTTCTTCATTTGTTTTCTTTGATAGGTTATCCATCGCACTTTCACCAATCGTACCGGCAATGAATTGCACCACTCTGGTTGGAATGCCTGTTCCAGTTGTTATTATGTCGATAAGAATGCCAAACGTGTACCGAAACGTGATAAGCTCGTGTTGCCCGGTGTTAATTCCGATTTTATTTATGTTTTGGATGTTGCTACAAATCCCCGCAAACCAGAAATCTGTAAAGTTATCGATGGCCAGGTATTGAAAAGCCACAATGTAACAGCACCCCATACAACACATTGTCTGGCCGATGGCAATATTATGATTTCAATTATGGGTGATGCTGAGGGCAATGCCACCTGCGATTTTGTATTATTCGATTCGGAATTCAATTGTCTGGGTAAATGGATCAAGGGCGACAAGAAACCTTATTGTGGTTATGATTTTTGGTATCAACCATATTTTGATGTAATGGTATCATCGGAATGGGGTGCCCCAAAGAAATTCAGAAGGTAAGGAAAAGTGTGATCGTTTTTGTTCTTCTGGACCGGCACAGACATACGAAAGGATGCAAGACAGAACCATAATTATTATTGAGCATATTATTGTAATAATTTCCTGAATCTATTCCAGGCTGTATGTCCATGTATATATCAGACAGGATATTAAGTCTTATAGAATTTGTTTCTATATGGCTAAAGGACGCTAGATCAACAAAATTTTATTTTCAAATTATACTTAGAATCCTTTCCTATATCGATTTGCTGTCTATCTAATGCACAGTTATTATCCAATTACGATGGAATTTAGGCTCAAGGTCGTTTTTTGGCTCAGTGTTCAATGCATTTCCTAGAAAACCCGAAAAAATTTTTATGGTTATATAATTTAAATTAGAAATAATTTTTTGTTTAAATATAAAAAATATTAATTAATTTATTCTATATATTTTTTCAGAGGTTGGAAAAATGAAGATCTTAATGACCTAACTCAATATGGCTGCCGTATTAATTTCTTCAAATGGTCAACACGCACCTTATATCAAACTATTGATTTGGGTATGGATGGCTTTACACCATTGGAAGTTCGTTTTATGCACGATCCCAAACGTGCCGAAGGTTTTGTAGGATGTTGTCTAAATGCCAAAGTATTCTATTTCAAAAAGAAGGAAGACAGTGATGAGTACATACACAAGAAAGTCATCGATGTACCCACAAAATTGGTTAAATTTGGTGATAATGAACCTGAAGCTATTGGTGGTATGGTCTCAGATATTATACTCTCTTTGGATGATCGTTATTTGTACATCAATTTGTGGCGACATGGTGATTTGCGTCAATATGATATTACCGATCCCGAAAATCCAAAATTAACTGGTCAAGTATTTTTGGGTGGTGCTATTTGTAAAGATTTAACCGATGTTGAAGTTATTGAAGATAAGGAATTGACGGTATGATATAATTATTAAGATCAACATTTAAATTTTTGATGTTTTCTGTGTTTGACTCCTGAGTGAGCTACCACAAGGAATATATACTGAACGTTTCATTATGGTAGTTTGCTAGGAAGAAAAATTAGAAAATCAACACTTGGAAATATTTTGGAATTTCTCAAATATTTTACATTTCTTCCAGGAACGTCCTGATCCAGTCTATGTAAAGGGTCGCCGCCTTGAAGGTGGTCCCCAAATGATGCAATTATCTTTGGATGGCAAACGTTTGTATGTCTCTACATCTCTCTTCTCGGCGTGGGATAAAATGGTATGATACATATTGGCTGCTATTTTCGAGGTGGTAATTTTAATTTTTTTTCTTTTAGATGTATCCCAAAATGGTAGAGAAGGGTGGTCACATTGTTAAAATCGATATTGATCATGAAAATGGAGGCATGAAATTAGATGAAAATTTCTTGGTCGATTTCGGTAAGGAACCCTATGGACCCACATTGCCACATGAAATGCGTTACCCCGGTGGTGATTGCACATCAGATATTTGGTTGGCTAATTGATAAGTCAACACACTCATTCCTATTGTTAATTTTTTTTTAAATTATATTAATATAATATACCTAATTAGAAAGTGTTTTGATTTTTTTTTAACAAAGGTAAATTTTTGTATATGCTTGTAAAAAAAAACAAATCTTCATTGGACTAGAATATGTTAAAAATATATTTGTATGAAAAAATTGACAGCCTCATTTCATTTTTATAAGGTTGGAAATGAAAATATACCATAATGGTAACAAAAACATCTGATATGAACAATATGTAGGACATGTTATAGGAAGTCCGACAATCGAAAAAAATCAGCAGCCACCTTACCAGTACAACATTGGTCTATTCAGTTTATACTATACTCCATACCTCATATTATTTCTCTTCACCTAAGGGTCATACCTAATTTATTGCGCTCCGTACAAATATACTCACCATTTCACCTTTACAGAGTTTGAAAGTCGTCCGTATTACCCAAATACGTAAAGACTTTATTTGCATCTATGCCAATTGAAAACGGCAAAAATGGATGAAAACTGTTTTTTAACTGACCGAAAAATGTTTACATTTATAGAAAAACAAATTTTTCAATGACTGGAATTCTATTTTCCAAAAACAAAAATTCCAAAATACGCAATGTCAATGTGGAAATTTGTCAACTTTATATATATATATACGCAATGCGTATTTGGGTAACATTCATTGAAATACATGTGTTTAACTTTTGAGGTGAATAAATTCGTACGGATACGCATGAATTTAGGTACAACCCTAAAACCGAGGTAATGGTAAAATAGCAGGAAATTTGGAATCCCGGTTAAGGTTGTCTGGGGTTTATTTCCGATTCCTACGAAACTAACACATATATTTAATGTGACGAGCCCATTATTTTCTTTAAATACAAATGATAAGCATTAGACAGAGGGAGAGGGGAACTGTTTTTTACACGCGATAAGATTGGGCTATCAACTGAGTTAGTCCAGAAATTACCAATATAATTAATAATTATTTAATTATTTCTTGAGTGGTAGTGGAATGTTTTCATTTTCTACATGCGCAGACTTTTTTTAAATTTCATATTAACTTATATGAAATTATCTTTCCTTTCTTGGTACTATTTTTTTCAAGATTATTTTGTTACTATCTGGTATGCAATAGAAAACAAATCCATTTGCCATAATAAGAGGCCATATCTTTTAAGATTGATTAACCATGTTATTAAAAATGCCAATGGATTGTTAACCCTTTAAGCTAAGAATTTTTTCCGCAATCCTAGAACAAATTTCTGTTCACAAATAGAAAATGCACAAAATTTGATATCGCTACATCCTTGCATTCGAGAGATACAGTACATTCTTTCGGAAAAATTAAAGTGCAATATCAAGAAAACCAAATGCAAAATCGACGGAAAAATCATTTTAAATTATTCTCTATATTCATTTTTACAAAAATCAAAAATAATTCTGATGACGAAATTCGTACAATTTGAATACAAAGCGATTAAAATAATTTGGACTGTATACACAAATTAGTACTGTACAAAAAATACCCTCTTCTCTATATTGAAAAGCTCATAACTTTACCAAAATTTTGAATTTTTTTGATTTTTCTTTTGATATGTGTCGTCCATAATCAGGTTTTGACATATGAAATGCAAATAATATATATATACTGGTTGAATATTAAATATAAGCTCTGAAACGTGTTGTTGCCTGTGGGCAACATTTGACCACAAAGGGCTAAAGAAGATTAACAGCCTGTTTTGTAAAATTCTTAACGAACGATTTCGAGTGACTTTTAGATTGTGACATTTTCATACCAAAGTATTTTAACCGCCTCTTGTCCATTTTTTCTAGAATTGTACATTCAAATCTAGAAAAAATGGACCTAGTTTGTGCCCCATTGCTGGTGTAAATAACCTTTAGCTCTTCACTTTCTCGGCGCATGCATGAACATTCCTATTTAAATTTCAACGTTTCTTTCACTTCTTTAACTTTTTGGTTGTTTTTACACAACGGCAAAATGTTTTGTACGGCCGTATTACCCAGATACGTCGAATTCATATATAGGGTAAACGCACCAATAGTCGGCACTTTAAAAATTTTCGCTTTTTAAACGTTTCATCATTCCGAGTGCATTTTTTCCACGATATTATATTTAGGTTAATCTGTTTCGAAATTTTGTTTACTCCCCGGTGGAATACAAATTTGTTTAATTAATTTGTATTAAATTAGATTAAATTAATAATTATGTATAAAAGTGCCTTTGTGCCAATAGTCGGCACATTTTTCCAATTGTCGGCATGTTATGTTCCAATAGTCGGCATGTCGCATTTTAGTTAAACAAAAATTATATATTTAATCGATTTTTCTGCTATTTGCAATAATAAATTATTACTATGGACGTTTTCATCAGTGTTATATTAAAAAAGTTATATAAAATAATATTATTTATTAAAATATTACAATTATAAAACATGGTGCCGACTTTGGGAGCCTGTTATCCAATTCTCGGCATGGTTAAATAAGGCATTTCATAGGTTAAACACATTTAAGATTAAACAATGTCTTCCATTATGTAAAACCACTCAAAACTGATTTTTTATAAATTAATCGTTATTTAGAGCACTTATTTAAAATTGTTTCCAATTTTGAGCCAAAAAGATTGAAAAGGTGCTTATTATTCACCCATATGCCGACTATAGGAAAACCTTTAAAAATTTTGTTCCTAAGGGCGGCATCGATAAAAATATCATAATTACAAATATTTTTTAATGATTTTAAATTCTAAAGTATTCTTCTCTATGTTCTTTACAATTACCAAGAAGATTCTTGTGAAAAATATATAATTTTAATATAGTTACAAGTCTTTTGCAATTGACATGCCCACTAATTTTTTCTTAAGAAACATGATTTATCGTTAGTGTTGACAAACCTCATTGATCAAATGCCAAATTTTGACTCAATAAATGTACATAGTTCGATTAAATTTTATACAGAGATAGGTTGCAGTGTTATTGAAGATTATTCGAGGTATTTTTCATATTTAGTTATAGGATTTTTTAGTTATTTGAAGTTATATAAAAAAGATGCCGACTATTGGTACATGCCGCAATTAGGTGCGTTTACCCTATTTCGGTAACATTCGTATAAATGGTATATTCCCGTACTACTTTTTACTACGATAACGAATTTTCCTTTATGATATCGAAGAAAATAGTAAAATCTAGTAGATTCTTGAAATACGGGTACAGACCAAATAAAATCTTGTAGATTCTTGCAGTATGAATAACGTCGAACGAGCTAATCGAAATTTGGGTAGGCATGTTAAGTTTGAAATTGTATTAATATTGGTCTGTTTCAGTACTTTTTTTAATAGTAAAGCTAATATATAAATCAGGAACGAAAATGTAGTAAATATGCCAAAATTGGATGGCAAAATCAACATAATAGCCAATCAGAAGTAGGCATTCCTGTTTACCATTTTTACTCAGCCAAATTTCTCGAGTAAAAAGTTTACATTTTGTATTGTGCTCTCTAAAATTTGATTCAAAGTTTTACCAGTTTTGTGGGTTGAGGAACGGTTTTCGAGTAAAAAGTTGCAAAACTTGTAAAATTAGTAGATTCTTTTGGGTTCTGGAACGGAACTTATGTTTACTTTTTAAAAAACTGGCAATTCATGTTTCATCATGGTGTCTCGGTTATGCAATACGCACCCATTATGAAAAATCAGTTCGTTTTCGTAACGCAATAGCGGCACGTAAAAGGACTGCTTTCGTTACTTTTGCGTTACGTTTATTTTTCTTAGAGGGAAGTCTATTAATCGGTTAGTCAAAAGTGGATTTACTTATCCCTAATCATAATTTGCCTAAACCTCATTCGTAAACTTTCGGTTATACCATTTTGAGTCCATTTTGTCTTCTCCTCCCATTCGTTAGCAGGTGGAACGTTTTTCAATTTTTTCAGTCGTCGTTTTTATTTTAGCTCCATTCCAGAACCTAAGAGAATCTACTAATTTTACAAGTTTTGCAACTTTTTACTCGAAAACCGTTCCTGAACCCATAAAACTGGTAAAACATGGAATCAAATTTAAGAGAGCACAAAACAAAATGGCTTTCTCTTTATAAACTTTTTACTCGTTTAGCCGAGTAAAAATGGTAATTGATATTGCCATCTAATTTTGGCATATTTACTAGATTTGCGTTCCCGAACTTTTCAAATTATTTTGTACTCTGAGACTTATTTTGAAATGTTTCCCTTTTACTAGCTTTACTATTAAAAAAGTACTGGAACAGACCATTTGTTGGAGAAGGTTTGGGTACGACGTCGCTTGAGTCTTGGCAGAACGACGATTAACAAGTGAAGGCTGGAGTCTTGGAGGCTTCCCTCTCATTGTACAACCGTATAGTACCTTTGATCCATATAGTACCTTTGCTCCATATAATTCCTTTACTCAATAAAGTTCCTTTGCTCCAAATAGTTCCTTTGCTACTAGATTTCCGACTCTTACATAGTTCATTTGAATCTCTCTCTTTCATCATTCTTTTTTTCGTTTTTCCATATATAGTTCCTTTGCTCCATATAGTTCCTTTACTCTATACAATTCCTTTGCTTTGATCCATATAGTACCTTTGCTAATTCCTTTACTCCATACAATTCCTTTGCTCCATATAGTTCCGACTCCTACATAGTTCTTTTGAATCTTTCTCTTTCATCATTCTGTTTTTCGTTTTTCCATACATAGTTCCTTTGCTTCAAATAGTTCAAAAATGGAACTGGATCAGAGAAAAGAACTATATTAATTAAAGAGCTGGAACTAGTTCCGATCGTTCCTTTCTCGGAATAGTTCTAATGAACTAGTTCGTTCCGGAACTACCCAACTCTACAGATTGAAAAAAAACCGAGTGAAGCCGAACGAATTGGACGCGCAAATTTTGGACAAAAAATAAATTAAAATAGATATTCATATATTTGCCTTTCAAATTCGCAATTAAAACAATTAATTAATATGGTTT